TCCTTTTAATATAACTATAAATATAAACTATCCTTTTAATTGTGTTACTTTTAATATTCTATATTTTACTTTTACTGGGAATCTATCCTTTTTATATTATTATATCATCACTAGAACTGTCAAAACATGTAATTTGACACACAACAATATTGTGCTACTCAATTTCTTTTCTTAACTAACTAACTACTTAAATAACAGAGTGATGTCTGTGGACATTATATTGACGACAATACACATTTCTAATGCTAATCTTCTGATATCACTCTGCTACTTGAGTATTTGGTTTACTTAATTATTATCTTGTGCTGTTGCATAAATTGTCAGCTGATTGCATATTTAAAGAATAATACTAATAGTTTTTTAAAGATTTGCCATTTAAGCATTAACACAATATGAAAAGAATATTCATAAACACATATTTTCTGAAGGAAATGAGTCGATTCCTTAAATTATTTTACTACGTAGTCCTGTTCATCAGAATAAATTGCATAAAAATATTCTTGCGAGAATTCTTAATATTGTTTTGTCTTTCTAGCAAAAAAATGGCATCTCGCAAGAAAGTGTTGTTGAAAGTCATTATTCTTGGGGACTCAGGAGTCGGAAAAACTTCTTTGATGAATCAGTATGTTAATAAGAAGTTTAGTAACCAATATAAAGCAACGATAGGGGCAGATTTCCTGACTAAGGAAGTGATGGTGGAAGATAGAATAGTTACTATGCAGGTAAAGTCTGATCTGTCTTAATAATCTTACAATGTATTGTCCGCGTCATGTTTCTAGCAGGTCTTTCTCTGTCTTAGATTTGGGATACCGCCGGACAAGAGAGGTTTCAATCATTAGGAGTGGCATTTTATCGTGGCGCAGACTGTTGTGTACTAGTATTTGATGTGTCTGCCCCTACTAGCTTCAAATCTCTTGATTCATGGAGAGATGAATTCTTGATTCAAGCTTCACCTCGAGATCCAGACAACTTTCCATTTGTTGTTCTCGGAAATAAAGTAGATCTTGAGTCAAGAGCAGTGAGTACAGTTATTCATATGTGTATCAAAGGAAAAAAGAAATACACATCAAATCTTGTTAGAACGTATATATTAGAAGAGGTTAATTTGGACAGAGTTGCGTTCAAGATCCGTGAAATTAGAACAGATATTTATCCAAATATCTTTATATATTTATCTGTATATTGATTCTTATATGTTTAATTACATTTATGTGCTCGCATAAGATGGATAAGAAAAAATAAGTCAAACAAGTCAACAGGAGTAAAAATCTGTTATTTTAGAATATTAAATAGTGGTAACCGATCTTCTTCTAGTATATATATTCTGGTATATATATATATATATATTGTAATTATGTTATATATATATATATATATATATATGTGTATATATTGTAATATTCTGGTATATATATATATATATTGTAAGAATAAAGTCTTTAATAAGTGTTGGTGATCTTTTGCCTAAGCTATAATCTTTATTAAATTTTGTTTCATGCATTTTTCCATATTTTATGTTATAGGTATCAAGCAAGAGAGCACAACAATGGTGTCAGTCGAAGAACAATATTCCATACTTCGAAACTAGTGCAAAAGAAGCTATTAATGTTGAGCAAGCTTTTCAAACGATAGCTAAAAATGCTTTAGCTCAAGAAAGCGAAGTGAGTGTGTTAAATATGCGGGAAAGAAATATTTCTCAACTATCTATTTTAATATTATCTTCATACTTTTTTATGAATCCTAGGTCGAACTTTACAATGAATTCCCGGATCAAATTAAATTGACTAATGACCAAAGAAGCAATGGCAAAGGTGATTCATGTGCTTGCTAGGTCCTGGAATAGTGGTAATCTTGGTTGACTATAAGATGCACAGGTCAGATTGTACATTCGTGTGCCTGCGCATAAAGGACATGGAGAATATATTGCGATGAGCTTTATGTGTGCAGGAAGTCACAAAAATATATTTCTTTATCTTAATGTATCATACAATCTCCTTATGTCCACAAAATATCTCAATATTCTCAAAAATAGTTCTGTTGAAACGGTCATTAGCGCGTACGATGAAAATAACAAAGTAAATCATGCATAAAGGAATGTGTACAAAACTTGATATATAATTGTTTTTATAAACATGTGGGAGTAAGATATATTTATTCGACTTCCTGACTAAATATCGCAAATTCTAAATCAGTACGCTCTCGCTGGATTTAACTTGTCATACGTGGATTCCCGTCTCTATGTTATTCTATTAATCAGAGGATTTATATCATTTTTAGGTAATATAACGCTCTCTTATCGGCGAAGTATAATTCTTTTGTATTTAGATTCTTGATTTATGGGCAATTGTTTTCGACGATGTATTGAGGTTTTTAAACGATAGCGGCTAATTTATTGCACTAGAGAGAGGGAGAGAGAAAAAGAGAGAGGGGATGATATATGGCCGGGAACACGGTTAGCGATACAGTTAGTAAATTATAATAAAAGAATTTGCTCATAATTTGTTAAGTACAATTGCATTTACAGATGAGCTCTAGCACACAGCTTATTCTCTTAGACAGAACCGAATATTTGCTCTGTGTAAATGGTTCTTATTACATAGAACAAAAATTAAGATAAAGATACAATAAAATGATTAAGATACTTTATAGTATATCTTACACGATCTATTTTAACGAATTCGAAATTGAACACGGATGTACGATGTAAATTCCTGGAACATTTTTTTTCCGTTCAATATCTTCTATTGATATGTGATATTGTTCATACGGCTAGCCTAATTGTGAAAAGAAAAAAAAAGTTCGTTGAAAATATAACTTAGATATTTTTTATTCGCTCGGTTAATTGTTTGTAACATTCTTTCGATAAATATTCTTTCGTTAAATTCTTAAGCTTTTCTACAAAATCCTAAGCTCCTCTTCTTCTGAGTTGAGATTCTTGTACCGCGATGCATTGGTTTTTAAGATTTTTTACTACTACATAAGATGAATAAGAGATTCAAGTGCGGTGAGTTAATTGTCAATTGTATGATCTACCGAGGAATTTTATGCAGACTATATTTTGTAAATAAGACAGTGTGCGATCCATTTAGGACAATTTAACGTTATAAAAAATGAATCTTTATATCCTGATAGCCATATCAGTAAGTATGCGCTTATAATATCTTAATTCTATTATTATATAGTCCTTATTAGAGCAGTAATTAGTCCTAACGGCGTGTGATATTTATTTTGATGAGAGCGAGCTTTTACATACATGTTTATGCAAATACGAGAATGTTTACATAATGCTGTATTAAAAAGAACATTTTTTGTAGTAAAACTAATTGTGCACCCATTAAGAGATGCGTTGGAAGTTTTAAAATTTTATTTCCTAGAAAGAGGTAAGAAGTAAAAATAATTCTTATAGTAAGGCATATATATATATATATATATATGCATCGCGGTACCGATAATTGTTATTCAATTTATGATTGTAAACCTTATTTCCGACCAATATCCAGATTGTAACTAGATTTGCGAAACCGATTTTGCTGGCTACTAATACATGTATAATCCTCCCCCCTCCCATTTCCAATTAAAGATTAAGTCCATCGGCGGTATGAGGCAGTATTCTAGGCACTTTCTAGCGAAAACATTTCACATTGAAAATTAGTTTTCATGCGATCTTCTGCTAATCTAATTAACTTTACGCATTTTGCGCAAGTGATGAATCTGATTAAACGTTGATTTAAATCTTCACTAAGGGAAAGTTAAACTCAATTACTCGCCATTTTTGGGACATCCAGTGTATATAACATTTTCATGCAGTGAAAAAAATAACTTAGCGCGTAACATAAAAATGTGCAGATTGGCCCAAAAATCATGCACTTTTTCTACTATAGAATATTATAGATAATGAATATATATACATATAAGAACAAGGATACCAATAGAATTTAAATATTAAATGAACAGTATTTAAATATTTGAGTAAATTAGCAATTTAAAAAATGCAAGCAGTAAAATCTAAAAGGATCTGAATTTGAGCTACGCAAAGATATTAATATTATGTGGAGGTAAATGCAAAAGAATAGGTATAAAAGATAACCAAGTTTTTAATGAGAAAAATAACTATATCTGTTAAAGAATCTATAGTAACAAAGTGCATGATTTCTTGAATACTCAGTATGCATGATGGTAAAACACACTTGCAACGTCAAATGTACTTTCATGAGTTTATGCATATATATATATATATATACATATGTATGCACGTGTATATAAATGAAGATAATCATGACCACGACGATTATAATTAATGATATGTATAATTCTATCGAAATATGTTAATGATAAATATAATTATAGATAATATGATTGTTATTGTTGCTGCTGCTATTACTACCATTATTACTGCTATTCTTATTATTACGTTGAGAAAATTTTATTATTTCGTTCACACGCAAACTATTTAGTGGGAAGAATAAGCTGATTGAATTGGAAGATTTTGCAAAATGGAATCAAAATATATTTGAATATTTATATATTTAAATCTTTTTTGCTACACATATTTTTGTTATTACATATGTGTATGTATGTAACTTTCAAATTTTAAACGCCATTTAACCAAAATGGCTATGGGCTATGTAATTGGAGACCACTAAATTTATATTTATTTCCAATCGCAACCGCTAAATCGCAAATAAACATTAAAATCAGGATAAATAGACGTATTTATTTTTATAAATAAAAATCATGTTGCGCACGTGGTTCTTAACCTTGAGACACTTTTGATATTAGAAGTCCAGAATATGAGAATGTGATAACATTCGTGTAATTTCCATAGTGTTTCTGTAGGTGGTTAACGATTATAATTAATAGCACAATTCTATAGTATCACATGGAATCCACTTGGAACTTTCCAGAGCATCCCACAAATTGTAGTCCTGTTCAATTATTTCCCTGTTTGCTTTGTCAATGTCGATAGGAATTGAATGCTCTGCCAAAGAAGAATATGAAAAAAAGAGTGAAATATTTCAATAGAAGAACGATTTAAAAGTTATGTTACAAAGAAATGACAGTGTACCAATTAATTCTAGTTCATCTTCCTCGGGTTTTTGATCTGACACGTAGCTATTATAAGCGTCTGATGTCGGTTCACTTTCATAGTAACCTTGTTGCCAAGCACTATAACTGTTCCAGTATGATGAGGTATCGTAATAATTATATGCTTCTGAATTCATATTCGATGGTGGATAGTCAGAGGTTGATTGTGGTGGTGTTGAGCTGTAAGATATGATTACGAATAATATTATATGAAGAATAATATAATAATGGAAACATTTTTCTAGTTTTTGAAATAACATCCGAGTCAGAGAGCGAAAATTTCTTTGTATATAATGCATACAAATACTGTGTAACATTTATGATATATACTATAAAAATATACCCAGATATTTTGTTCCAAGGTCTAGGTACAGCATTACAGATTTTCAGAGATTTCGTCCCAAGTCCTCTGTAGCCATTCATGGTGATTAAACTATTCTTTTGTTCCTCCTCGTTTGCGAATCTGACAAAGCCGTAACCTTTGCTGAATCCAGAACTATCTAATATGACTTTAGCTGTCCTAATGGAATTGTATTTAGCAGCGAATGCCCTGTACAAGGAGTAATCATCTACATCGGTGGACAAATCTCCTACCCAAATGCTGAATTCTCTGTCGGCGGCAGGTTTCCCCGTAGTACTGGCGTGATTCAGACGGAATCGTACCGACTGCAAGATAACAAGTTGGCAAAATTAAAATAATAACCAACATGTTTAGAGTATATCATCGTTTTAAAGATACTCACGGGATTTGATCCGGGTATTACTTTACCATTTAACTTATGCATAGCATCAAGCGCCATTTCATCAGTTGGGAAATGCACAAAACAATATCCAGCGGGCTCGCCGGTGTATCTGTTGCGCATTACCTTGACAGTTTGTGGTTGCTCACCCATCTTATGAAACGCATTCATGATGAAGCTTTCAGTCATGTATGGCTCCAGCTAAAAGCAAATAACTTTCAGTAAATTGTATTTGCAAGTGGCTTGACAATATCCAGGGATATATTTATCAGAAATGATTTATACTAACACCACCCATCCATAGTTGACACAACACCATCGGGCCGGACATTTTATTTTATCCACAATTACGCGATATATCTCTAACTATACTTGTGTGTGCGCAAGGCTCTTTACTGAAAAAGAAAATGATGTAAGAATTATATTTTTTCCGAGCACTATCTCTTCTCTGAATATATACAATCTCAACTTTTATACAACGGAATTGATGAAACCACTCAGTATGTAACCGGATATATATACACATGAAATTAGCAATAAGTTGACTTGCGCAAGAAAAGGTAACTTAAGACGTACGCAATACACTACTCAAATTGAGAAAGAGACCTTGACAGCGCACGACAGGTTATGTTATCGATAATCCTGCAATTAAACGACACAACAATAGCCATTACACAAAACTAGCCTCCACGCTGACCGGAGTCTGTTCTTTATAGCTGCACCGGTGCAATAAGTTGAAGTGAGAAAACATATGCTTGTCTCACTCCAACTTATTGCACTATAATACAACAGTGCAGTTATAAAGAGCATACCGAAAGGCGGAAAGTGGAGAATCCAATTGGCTGCGCTACTTTCGATACTCTCTCTCTCTCTCTCTGTCGATATATCGAAAGAAGTCGATTGTCTATATCTACGCGCCATCTAACGGTGCGACATAGTAACGTTCTCGTTGAACAGCGTGTATCAGCTGCTGCGGTGTGTATCGCTCGCAACGTTCTTGATACGTGTCCGTCCCGTGCGCGGTGTCCGGTGTTTGCTGCTGGCCGCAACGCTGGCGTATCACGAATCTATGGGGATTGTCTGCCGTCGCGCCGTCTCGCTGGGATCTCTCTGTGTGCTCGCGTAAGGCGCCCGGTGCGCCTTCCCGTCACGAACAAGCATGTGTCGGGCACGACTGTTACTCCACTTTCTGGCCCTTAGCCTCCTCCCCTTCGCCCATACCGACGAGCACACTCACATCGTGAGTATTCCGCATCGTGAGTTACGCGCGCCGACGTGTGTGATGTTTCCCCGCGAATGTCAGACCACCGCGACCTGCGACATTTAAAAAGGCCAACCGCGTCGGAGACGGCCGTTTCTCCTCTTGACATCTCCTTCTCTTCTTCCCTCCACCTTTCCCTCGCTCTCTCTGAGCGAAGCCGTCACGCCGTATCGGCGAATTCCGCCGTTATCAGCGCACCTAATTGCGCGATGTCGATGCCGTAACGCGACACCGGATAAAGTGCGCTATTTATTCCGGTTAATTTTTTTTTCTTGCTGCACGATATCTGTATGAACTTGCACGAAAGATATCGCATCGTGATCACCGGGTATGTTGTTGTTTGTTGTCAGTACGAGGACGGCGACGAAGTTGTATTATGGATGAGCACGGTGGGGCCGTATCACAATCGTCAGGAGACGTACTCCTATTATTCCTTACCCTTTTGTACGGGCACCAAGGATGTCATCAATCACTATCACGAGACCCTCTCGGAAGCTCTTCAAGGGATAGAGTTGAAGTTCAGTGGCTTAGATATCGAATTCAAAGGTGGGCATATTTGCAGCTGATGTATGAGCATATCTTTATTCGGATAATGTGACTATGCCCGTTTCTATCACCATCATCACTTTAAATTGAACCGATGATTAACTCAGTGAAATTGACTAATCGTACTGATCAGTTCAGCCAATTGACCGATGCAATTGGTCAATTCCTTTGAATTAATCGTCGATTAGAATTATACCATGATGGTAGAAATAGGTATTAGTCGGTTAGCGACATGTAGATATAGATTCAAACATGTTCGATACGTTTCAGAGGATATGACAAAAACGGAGTACTGTCAGACAAGTTTAAATGAAGAAAGCCAGAAGGCTTTTGTGTACGCAGTGAAGAATCAGTATTGGTATCAAATGTACATTGACGACTTGCCAATATGGGGTAAGCCAGCTTGCTGATATTTCACGTTACGTACACACTCGGTTGAATGGGACACTAAACAACTCTTGCATTCACACAGGTGTTGTGGGAGAACCTGAAGAGAATAACGGAATTATTTCCTATCATATCTGGACGCATAAAAAGTTTGATATAGGTTACAATGGTAAACAGATAGTGGACGTCAATCTGACCAGTGAGAACAAAGTAAAGTTGGCGCAGGGTACGCATATTTCTTTCAGCTATGAAGTCAATTGGAAGAAGAGCAACGTCAAATTCGAGGACAGATTCGACAAGTATCTGGATCCTAACTTCTTTCAACACAGAGTGCGTGTTCCATTAACGGTGTTTTTGTCACTTCAACATGTGGAACAGAGAGAAATATATATACCTTATTCTCCAATATTTCAAAATTGTCCCTTCAGATACACTGGTTCAGCATCTTCAACAGTTTTATGATGGTGATCTTCCTGGTTGGACTGGTATCGATGATATTGATGCGTACCTTGAGGAAGGATTACGCCAGGTACAGTAGGGACGAAGAAATGGATGACATGGAGAGAGATTTGGGCGACGAGTACGGGTGGAAGCAGGTGCACGGAGACGTATTTAGGCCTGCGAGCCACGCCATGCTTTTCTCGGCTCTTATAGGCGCGGGCTATCAGGTACGCACTTTCTATCTCTATGGCTGCGTTCAGAAAACACAACGGTTCGAACAATTCGTCGGCGTAATTGGTCTAAATTCAGGGATCTAACAGTAAAGATGAATAATCACTGATCGCTTATGTTTTCCGGAACGCAGCCCGTGTTTCGAACCGTCGGAGAGAAGCGGGAGAATAAAATCGTCGCGTCTTTCATACACACACGCAGGTCACGGTGGTTGTGCTGAGTGTAATTATTTTCGCTATTCTGGGGGAACTCTACACGGAACGCGGCTCGATGCTGTCGACAGCGATATTCGTGTACGCCGCGACGTCGCCTATCAACGGTTACGCCGGCGGCGGACTGTACGCACGGATGGGCGGACGCGTGTGGATCAAGCAGATGATCCTCAGCGCCTTCATGTTACCGCTGCTGGTGTGCGGCACGGCCTTCTTCATCAATTTCATCGCCATGTATTACCACGCCAGCAGAGCGATACCGTTCGGATCCATGGTATACATGAAAACATCCGTCCGAGGATTCCAATTCCTCCCGTTGCTTTTAACACGACCACATTTGCCCGCAGGTCGCGGTCACGTGCATCTGTATATTCGTGATCTTACCGCTGACACTGGTAGGTACGATTCTGGGGCGAAATCTCGCCGGGACACCGGACGCCCCGTGCCGAGTGAACGCAGTGCCACGTCCGATACCTGAGAAAAAATGGTTCATGGAACCGTTGGTGATCATCATGCTGGGTGGCATTTTGCCTTTTGGCTCGATCTTCATTGAAATGTACGTTGCTCCTAGAGAGAGAGAGAGAGCTCTCGTATGACAATTGCGCGCGGCTAACTTCGTTACTCTTCCAGGTACTTCATCTTTACCTCATTCTGGGCATACAAGATCTACTATGTCTACGGCTTTATGTTACTAGTGTTTGTTATTCTCATGATAGTGACGGTGTGCGTCACCATTGTATGTACATATTTCCTGCTGAACGCCGAAGACTATCGATGGTGAGTTGATGATCTCGGTATATTCTTGCCTCTTTTTTTTCTTCTTCATCGCAGAATGTGCGGTGGTTACAATGTAAATCCGTTTCGCAGGCAGTGGACGAGCTTCCTCGCCGCAGCTTCGACGGCAGGTTACGTTTACATTTACTCGTTTTACTACTTCTTCTTCAAAACCAAGTAAGTCGCCGTACGCCCATTCAAATCGCAATCATGCGATCGGTCTTAAGGTAGTTAGCCCGTAAATTTATTTTCTTAGGAACTTCTTCAGATTCTAGCGGCATATTGAAACACAACCTGCACACGTGCAGAAATTGGAAAAAGATTGACCATACTATCCTCGAAATTGTAAGATTTTAGCGTTAACTGTCTAGCTTTCAAGAGATTGACACACAAAGTACACCATTTCTGATAACGACGTAATAGAACACAAGTTGACACAGCTGTAGAGCAAAGTCGGACATTTGCGTCAGTCTCATTGCTGCCGACTTTTTAGTAATTTTTAATTTTTCTATCATTTTTACCACTTGCAGCATTATTTTTATACCTGCAGTTGCGTCGTTCTCCTTGCGCCCCAAGGATAATCGACTGTGATTGGTCAGTTTTTCTACTGAATTACGATTACGACTAAAAATTTGTTCCTTATCATTTCTAACAGTATCGTCGCCAACGGGTCAATTGCCTTAAGGTTTCCAAACAGCTGCATACGAATCTTACGATCCCTCGCTTTGTTTTGTTCTCGCAGAATGTACGGTCTCTTCCAAACGGCATTTTACTTCGGTTACATGGCGTTGTTCAGCTTGGCCCTGGGTATCATGTGCGGAACGGTCGGATACATCGGTACTAACGCTTTCGTGCGGAAGATATATTCCACAGTCAAGATAGATTAAAGAGAGGAGCAGCACACATCGCAACGACGCATGTCGTCATCATTTACATTGCGGAGCCCACGTGAGATTCCCCCGTGCAGCGTGGTGCTCACTGCATAGGACGACTCTGCCGGGAGGGAATTCATCTCGGGCAGTGATGATCATGCCGCTCGTGCGGGATTCTCGTGTACAGCCCGGCTCATCGTCGACTTAATTTACGCGACCACATCGTAGGAGCGGCATCATCACGCGTACACGCCGCTCTCCGTGCGTTCCTCGAACGTATTATTACTCTTCCAACGAAACTCACGCCGTCGCGCGATTACGATCCGTTCGAATGACGATGTTCTCGTTTTCGCTGTTCGTCCGTTAATTTCCTTTCCTTTCTCGCTCCGTCTGTCTGTCGGGGCGAATAAAAATGTGCTGTAAACGGGTCCTACCGTACTAGTATGCGCGCAGTATCGCGAGAGAACACACACACACACCACACACACACACAGTCGTCTGTCAATAATAAAATAATAATTGTAAGTGTTAGTCGAAGTCCCATACGAGTCCGAGCGGTTGTAACGAACGAACACTTCGCGATCGTGCAAATTTCAGATCATCGGGCGCCGCGCGCGTGTATCTTGTCGCAATATTTTTTATCTTGGGCACTGGCACGCGCTGCCAAGTGGAGTTGACAAATTTGTAATGGTCGATGGTTCGATATACATTACGAGTTCCTTCGAATTTTGCACGATTGCGATTGTTTCTCGCGTGTACATGAACATATATATATATATATATATATATATATATTATATATATATATATATATATATCCGGTGTGTCTCGCCTTGTGAATCGCTTGAGAAACGCCATGTAAAATTGAAGGAACCGTCGTATGCGAGAAGATTTACGGAGTTTCCACACTCTCTTGTATGCTTTCTAGCTAAATAAAATTTAGTACGAGCGGTAAAGCGCAACGACGTTTACGTTATACATATACATACATACATATATATATATATACATATAATATAATACGAGGCAAGATAAGTCTTTTTTTTCCTCCAGTTCGCGAAGAGACAGAGAGAGAGAGAGAGAGAGAGAGAGAGAGAGACGCGAGGTAAAAAAACTTCACGATGCCGAGAGTTCTAACGGATGGTTCGGGATTAAATTAGAGAGACGCGCTACAATGACAATGTATTATAATTTATTAACGGTATAGTTTTGTAAGGATCCCTTTCGTTGACACGCGTTGACTTGTGCGTTTCGGCGTAACGATGACGAGACTCGTGAGTTCCAATTTTACTTTTTGGGCTACTTTGCGGCCGTTCCGTCGCAGAGAAACTCTCGTCGCTGCGCTGAGTGATGGATCGCAGTAAAAAGAGACAGAAAGGCGCCGTGTGCAGAAGCTGTGTCGCGCATCACGATCTCCTCTCGTTTTGTATTTCCGTTGTTACTGTACTTCGATGAAGCGCCGTCGTTAAAACGAAACCGAGTCTCGGCCGCGATCGCGACGAGGACGAGCGAGTCCTCAATCGTGATTCCTTGACCGCTGGCGGGTAATCATCCGTACGTACGTGTGTGTGTATATCAGTCGCCGTCGAAAAGCGAGGGAAGTAAATGATACCGTGACAATTGAGAGAACGTACTTGGATATTCGCGAGAAACACGATGACGACGAGAGTATTGTGTCTCAGTGGTTTTACCGGATAACTATTGTCGATGGGAGTCTTCGAAAAAAATAAACGATTTGTTGTTAGATGTAGCGATTCTAAAAAAAATATATATATAAAATTTCTACGTACAACATACACGCAGTCGCAAGTCTCACCTCTTTCTCCACGTTCGCGAATTTGTCCTCGAGATCGTTCCTACACGCAACAAATTAGTTTAGTAGTTGAAGATTTGTATTCTCATATATATATTTGAGATTTAAATTGGTGCTATTTTTTTTTCATCACATTCGTGCGCTCAAATTGTATACAAGATCCGAAATAACGGGTTTTTATTATAACGAAATTATTAGACCCGTTATTTTTGTAATTTGGTTCTAGAATCTCCGCTACGAGTCGCCACTATATTTAACGAGAAACTGACATCATGATATGATTAAACGATGGAGCCGGACATACTTTCTATTTCTCAAGTAGTATTACTCAAGAGCTGGTAAATCGTACTTTCTATTATCATCTCCGCCATCGAAAACATTTCACTCACACATGAGACTATTCGAAGACAGACGTTGAATATATTGATCGATCATTTTCAGATTACGACATTATTTCGCATTCAGAAGCGCCTGGAAGATTTGAAACGCCCTCCTCGACGTGGCGGCCACTGGGATCCTCTTTCCGTACGCGACTTCCGCTTGACTTTTTTCGAATTAACAGTGAACGATACTCACATTTATATTCATTCGCAACAATACGCAATCGATCACGAGTAGTGTCTGTTCGATTGATGACAGTTGCGAGAACGAAGCGGTGAAATCTCTCGGCTGACCAGCGTGGTGACGTGTGGCACGAGGAGTCGAGCTGTTGCGCAGTTTCACGTGTCACACGGCGCACACGTCGACGAATTGTCGCGGAGCTGAGTGCTCCGGGTCACATCCCCGTGCATCGTTGTAGACGTTCGGAGACGTTGGGCACGTTCGGACGCACGGCGTGAGCGTGTTCGGGCGCGGGGAACAACTCACTGTCAAACGCTCCTTTGACCCAAGTGCGAATTCGCCGAACGACGACGATGGCACCGAAGCAGAGAATGCGCATCGCCAACGAAAAGGCGACGAAGAACATCACCTTACGCGGAAACGTACCCAAGTCATCGGTGAGTGATCATTGTATTGAAATAACGCGGAGAGGAATCTCTCTCTCTCTTTTGACGGTGAAAAGACGAAAAATGTATGTCGATCGTAGAATCGTCGATCGTGTCGTTCGTAGAAACCGGAGGGAAATTGCGTCGCGGGGATCCGGGTTATGTTTGCTTCAGCGGCTGTTCAAGGGGAAAATAACATATGGTTTTCGAGAAGACGAAAGATTTGCACGCGTCCGATCCCGGGATCGCCGCGAATCGACGCAGTTCCTGTCACCGTTCTGTCTTTGGATTAAAAACAAATTGTTAGGTTTGTTTTATCGGTGATTTGAGGTTATAGAGAGGTCTAGTTGCAACGGATCGCGCTACTGGCGCAAACGCAATTAAGCTGACGTTGATGTTTGTTTTGCTCCGAGGTGTATTGCACAGTTGTCAAAAGATATCGGCTTGTCCATATGCGCGCGTCCATCTGTTCCCATTGACGAACAGCTGTCATAATCATACACGTCGCAATATTGCTCGTAAACATGTTTCACCTGTTTATCGATGCTTACGTTTAATATTAAAGCAATAGGAATTTTTCTTCTGTACCAGAAATCGCAAGAGGAGGGATCTTCGGTCGGACCTTGGCTCTTAGCTCTATTTCTCTTCTTAGTTTGTGGATCTGGTAAGTATACATATGGTAATTTTGATGTGTAGGATGTTGCAGAATTAAATTACGAAACTTCTCATTTACGCCATGTAGCATCGAAACAAGACATTGCCAGTGTGGAATTTTATAAATATAAGAACAAACAAAGAATGCTGAATCGTATCTTTATCCCGAATGAATTCTTCGACTCGTTTCTTAGTCTTTATTAAATTAATGAATCGAACTGTAATTTAGAAACAACATGCTTGATTTCTTCATTCTGTTGCAGCTGTATTCCAAATCATCCAAAGTATCAGAATGGCTTGAAGATGACAAGGAAGAAAAATGCTACTGTTAATCTTAACACAAACCATTTGCAACTCATAAATATACGGAAGAGACTGACAGGCCGTTTTGATACAGATTGTAAAGGAAAAAAGAGAAGAAACATATTACAGGAATTGGAACGTAATCACCGTAACGATAACATCTGGATAATAGTTAGAAAACTATTTTCCTTTCTGCAGAAGCTCAAAGATTTATTTATACCGTTTATATTTATAAATGCATTTATAAGCGTTTAACTTAATTGTACTACACATAGACGAAAGAAGCGCTCGTACATATACATGGCTGCGAAGAGAAATTACCGATGAATTTGATGAAACATAAAGCTGCAAACGATCATTCTAACTTCCAATTCTCTGCCACGGTCTGATCATTTTAGTCGATATTTTGGTTAACGATTTTCTATTGTTTCTTTTTAAATCTTCTTTCGTCCATGAGTAAATATAGTAAATAATTGTATATACACGAACGATTATTGTATGGATTTCTCCTCGAACAGGCTTGTCTAACTGGCGACAGCAAGCGGTTGTCTCTTTCTAGTTAGACAGACCCAAAGCATTCCACTGTAAGCAGTTGGTAGCTTCCTGTTGTCTGTATGTTATAATGGCCTTTGTATGATGCTTATATATTATGAACGAAGAGAAGAGATATAGGTCATTATACTTATAAAAAATATATATATTATATAGAATATTATGAGGATGAGTTATCTATATCGAGCATTTGCTATTGATAGCGCATTGTCTCTTTTATTAAAATATAATAAATATATGCATATATCATGTGTATATTTTAAGTAACAATATACACATGTAAATATATGTATAGATTGTTTTACGTGATTGCATTTTATGATTGTTGAGCGTGTTTCTTTGAAACTTCAATGTAATACCTAACTTTAATTTCTCTCTTGATATCATCTTTAGTATAAAAAGATATGTACATATTATTTTTTATTTATGTCCGTATTGTTATTTGTTCAACAGTTGTTATCTTCTAAATATTCGAGATTCAGTTAGAACAAATTGCATGTTGTTTTATTCGTTTTATTCTTCATCTATATATCTTTTAGTAATATCAATTTGAAGATTTCACACATGCACTCGCTTCTTGCAAATAACAAATACAAAAGTATTTTTCAAGTGAATTAAAAACTCAATATAATACTTAACATTGAAAGAATTTGAACATTTTCTCTGCTAATGCAGCCAGTTTATCTATGAAGAATAGACCATTGGTCTGTTCTTTTTAGCTGCACTGTTCAAGTGTGCTTTAAGTTGTGGCGTTTTCGAGTTGCTGATCAACCCGACTCAGGGTCAGTGATGCCAACGTTGGCATCACTACTTTCTCGGCTGAATGCTCGGTGATTGTTTTTGTTGATTTTTGTTTCAAACATCTTCGGGACAGTGAGATTATTTGTAACTACATCTAAGCACTGAAAAAAGTTATAGGCTTCCAGTAGTCTGCTCTACAAAATAATTGTGATTGAAACGTGTGAGAAATTATATATTTTGCAAGATGTCGTTATTTCACGGATACAACGAAATACCTAAACCTGACAGTAAGTATCTACAGGTTTTTTAATATAGTTTTGTGTAAAATACCGTATGTCTAAGATACTGTATTTTCAATATAGAATTTGTAAATAATATATACAGAATTGAAAATGTACCATAAAATAATCAACTGTCTTATAATTATAGATGTAATGACAATGCCTATATCACCATGCAAAACAACTTACTTTAATCCCAAGGGACATAAAAAGCCAAAGGGATTATCAATAAGATCTGATTCAGATATGAACGTATTTCATAACACACTTCCAACTAGTGCAAAAGAAAATACAGGTAATCCCAAAGAATCGAAGATCTCGAAATCTAAGATAGTAAAACAAGATAACTCTGGACATCAAACTTATTCACTAAAGGTAATCTTATCAAGAATAATAAAACTAGGAGTTTCATACTTTCAAAATATTTGTTGAAAATTAATCATGCACACGCAAATGCATAATTTATAGTAAAATGTTTCATTCAAATTCATGGATTTATTCATTGTGTACTCGTCTGTAATTTTTACTAAAAGTAGAGTATTTGCGATGTGTCTTTCTGTGAGAACAGGGAAAATTTTCTAACTATGAATATCGGAGCACTGAAGGAGAGAAAAGAGAAATTGACAAAGACAAGAAAATGGAAAAAGTATTAAGTGATACGATCTTTAAAGCCCCAATACCTCCTGAAAAATTTGCCAAACAAATCCGCGAGCCAGAAAATTTAGCACATTTTTATAATGCTCAATATGAATTCGGTATGTAGATAATTATATGGGTATGTAGATAAACAATTAGCTACACCATACTGGTGGAATTATTCTTGCTTACTTCTGTTATCAATTAATTTTCTGTAGATTATAAATGTGTTGAAACTATGGAACAAGGATTTATGGATCTACTTCTGGAAGTGAAAGATGACATAATGCCTTGTGAAAAGGAAGGTCAGGCTTGAGAATATCAATATCATATAACATGTAAGTTGTTTTATGTGACTTGTCAATTTTTTATTGCAGATTTGGAAACATTACTACCTGTGGAAATTCCTGAAATTATTCTTCCTAGTTTCTTTGATGAAGAATATATGGAACTTCCATCTCCCGAGCTACCATACATATCCGACGAAGATATCTTTTACTAGGGGTAACTAAGGGTAATACAGGTTTGTTTGAGATTTTTTACTTTTCAATGTAAAATGAATACTTGTAATTAAAGTAATATTCTCGTAGTACGTTCTTTACAATGAGAGGTATTTTTATATCGATAGATATGGTTAAAGTATTATAGTAATTAAGTGTAGAACGGTAGAAAGAAAAAGTAAGAGTGTGTTATTTATTTATTTATTTTTTATTTATTAATGAAACATTTTTTTATTTATAAATGAAATAAACGGTTCAGCGAAACAACAGTTGAACAAACAGTTTATCATATTAAATTGTACTATTAGATTAAACTTTACTTTTTTTTTAATCTGTTACACTAAACTGTTTGTTCAACGCAAACTGCGGTCTCCGTTAAGTTACGTAACATTTAAGAATACTGCGGAAAAAATAATACATTCTTGCAATTTATAAGCGTTTTTTTCAAACATTTCAATGTTCAACTATTAATGCGAAAATGTCAGCGTTATTAGATTCCGACAAAGCTACATTCCTGATTCAATATTAAACAAAAATTACTTTCGTAATCCTAGATTTTTTGTATTGTGTTATCTCTGCATTGGGTAGCACAGAGAAAGCGAGTTTAGTTTTACGTCGAGCTTGCTACATCGTGCTTGTGGCGACTTTGTTTTCTTGAGATCTCGTCGTGTAATAAATATTAAACAATAGCGCAATAATCGTTAGAAAAGAAATCCGCGTCAACGACGTCCTATTCAGCTTGCGATTAAGATATTTGCGACGTATGATTAAGATGTTCGTAATGCATAATCATTTGGCGGGTGTAGAAGCTGCCGCTTCGAGGGCTCGTTTCTCCTCGGACAACAAGGTGATCTTCTCGCCGTATTTTTCCCGAAGACTTTGAAACAACGACAATTGAGTTTCGTATTCTTTTTTGAGATCAGCGTTCAGTCGCATCGCCGCGTCCATCTTGCTGATCATTGCGTTGTGCCGGTCGCGTTCCTCCGCTATCTTCCGCTCCATGCTATCGACTTCGGTCTGCAACGTGTGTCACGTGTGTTAAGGTTTAAGTAATAAATGTTAATTTTGAACGAAATTAGGACAAATATACACACAATATTAAACACGGATATTTATTTTTTATTTTTCTTATTAATGCTTTAGATTCATCAGTCAGTTGAGCTAATAGGGCTGCACACATGATATATATATATTTGTTAAATATTCAACATTTAAATATTTGACATAACATTCTTAGAATATTGCAAGAATATTATTTCAATAATTAATAATAATATTCATGTAATATTCTACGAATATTACGCGTTCATAGGGTTCTTGTTACAAGTATAGCTGTGTCGTGCATTCGCGAAACGTCGTCAGCGAATTCACGAGATCAGCCGAGGCTGATCGAAGGCTCACCTGAAGCTGCTTCACCTCCATATTGCGAATCTGCAGGAGGTCGCGCGTGATGGACACCACCTCCTTCAGCGAGGTCACCTGATTGTTCAAGGCGTTGATCTGATTTTCCTGGCTCGCGACAATCTGATTCCTCTCCTCGTACATCAACGCGGTTTGCGCCAGTTGGCCCCGCAGTTGGTCCACCGATCGTTGCAGGCCGGTCTCGTCGCCGGCATGACGCGTCGTCGCGTTGTAGGTCGTTTGCAAGACAGCCAGCTTCTTCTCCGTGTCTTCCAACTTCTTTCGGTAAGCGTCGCGCTCCTTCGTCCTGCTCTGTTGGTCAAGGATCGTCGGCGTTAGAGTCCACACGAAGAGAATCGGGAAGTCGTCGTCTACTAGCTAGTTCGAACTTTGCTGTCACTAAAAGAGTTACAATAGCACCGATATTTGGCGCGTTCTGAGCTGATTATTCCTCCGGATCTGAAAAACTTCCAACAGTTGCCAAATAAACGTTCTACTGAACGTCGACATCAGCTGCCCCTATTTCAAAGATACATTTTAGCTGTCGCAGTTAGATTTCAGCTCCTATAACTAATTCTTTCTCTCAAATGATACGCGCGAGGAACGCGACAAACGACTCGACCAACTCGCTCTTCGCTAAACACAAGATTAACCGGATGGTCAAGTCCACGGGGTGAGTCGTTTCTCCAGGGACACTTCTCATCTTCCGAGGATTTCCTCACCCTAACTTGCTCCTCCAACTGCGACACAGAGGCCGCGTTGTCGCCTTTCGCCTGTGCGATATTTCGCTCTGAATTATCGTCCGCCTATGACAAACGAGACACTAAATGAATCATTCGGAATTCGATGACTCGCGCGTTATTCGATTTCTTTTGAACCACACACTTACCTTCTTTTCATCGGGTGGCTGTGCCGATGCTGGCTGACAGGCCGCCGCAGTTGCGTCCTTCTCGGGATCCTCCGCGTTCGTATCGGTAGTCTTCGTGCCGGAATCAGCGACTCCTTCGGCAGGCTTGTTAGCTTCCGCTCCTGTCGATATTGGATGATTCATTTCCACGGCGACATTTTCCGACGTTATCTCGACGTGTGCCGGTTTAATCGCAGCCGCCGACGACGAATCGTCGATACTTCGGTTGGTCTTCGTGACTTCGATCACCGGTGCGTCTCCGCCAGCCGTCGGCGTCGGTCCCTCCATTTTAGACGTATCTTTGCAAGGATAAAATCTATAGTCTCCGATCACGACGATCAATTCAGTCAAATGAATAAGAAACAAACAAAACAAACAAGCACGGTAACGGCGAAATCGAGAAGATAATCGAAAAATCGCACGAAAGTTAGGTGGAATGGACGACTGATATTCTTTTTACTTCTGCTGTTTTCATTTATCACAAATCACGCTTTTCGCCGTATTTCAGAGTTATTTGTTATTAATTTTCCCCCCCGCTTTCTTATTTTTCTTGTCTTGATTGATGCGAGTAATAATGTATGTACGTTACGCAGTGCTCCGTTAAGATGTTGATGCCTTGGAAATCGTTGAAACGCCCGTTAAATTTCTCTGATTTTTTAGGAAGGATTATCACTGCGATCGCGAATGTTCGTGCTTTACATCGACAAATTTTATCGGAAAGTATATATACATATATTGAATATTTCTCTCTTCTCGAAATACCTCTGCCGAAACTTCACTGTTGTCCGAAACGACTGGCTTCCACGACTAGGCAAGAGCGTTGAAGTATTTTTGGCCATCCTCCGTTCGTTCTATTTTAAGCTACATCTCGTTTATACGTCACTTATACATTAAAGATACTCATATATTTACATATAACAAATAGTCTATTTATTATATACATAATATTATATATTATAATCTATTCAAATGAAATATATAATATATGTATAATATTTCGGATTATTTTTATATATATGTGTATTCTCCCTACATCGTTTTATGTATTGGATCGTTTAATTATACATAATAATTTTTCCAATTATTCTATATTATATTATATTAACATTAATTTAATATTACGAAAAATAGTATCTTTCATAAAAAAAAAAAATATTTATTTCTAATTTTTTGAATGCACTTGAAAAAGGTTGTCAATTTAATATTTGTAATTTTTCTGGTAAATTATATTTATATCTTCTAGAAGATACTATGTTTATTGAATCAAATATTTAATAAATTTTAATATGTATATTGATATACAGCATTATTTAAAAGTAAAATTGCATCTAATCTATGCTCTATATAAATTTTTAAATAAGAATTAAAAAACCGGCTTTTCATTAAATTTTACTATTTCAAAATAAAACTCATACTAAATAAAGATACATTACACATAAAAACTAAACATATTACTTTCGGTCTCAAGAAAATCTCGCCTGTAAAAAAATATAAATCATACATAGAATTTTTATCTGATTTGAAAATATCTTGCGCGAAATGCATCTCTTGACGTCGTTTAAATTAAACGCACATATAGCCCTCAACATGGCTGATCGTCACGTAATCGATTACCGCTACGTCAAAGGAACTAGCATTACTACGAGCTACTATCGTAACTGCATATGAGGTGCTGAATCCTGAAATTCACTACCATTGCTAAAAATCTATAGTTTATGTATATTACATATAATATCATAATGATATATTTTTTATGAAATTGCATTTCTATGATTATCTTCTTAAATATAATTATGGTAAACAATGAAGAACAAGGAATACGCGTTGAACACTTCATAAACGATTTCCCAAGATATAAACGTCAATTAAAGGATTAAGTTTGGAAAAAGTATACTTATTAATTTTTGTAAAATCTTACGGAAATATTCCAAACACTGGCCTCATCTTTATTAAATTTATTTGACATAATCCGTACAGGGATCCACATGGATTGTTACCTTGGATTTTTAACGCAAATCTCCAATGGATTCCATATGAATCTCCTATATGAATTCCCACCTAGTTTTTTCCAACAGGAAATTATACCGGCCATTTATATATAACCTTCGTATGAAATGGGTGGAAACTAACTTAGCTCAGGAGTGGTTGGACCGGTTGCTATTCATTTTTTTGTCGAAATGGTTCTTCCCTCGTCACAGAAACTTCAGCCCAAATAGAATAAAAGAGAAATCGAGACTATATTTGCAAGGCGGAGTTAATATTTGAAACGCCCAATAAGCAACGGGATCAATACATAGTGGAACAAAATGGAGAAAATCTGACCAAAACTTTTAATTATTTTTATATAACCGTATTATATATGGATTCACGTGTATTTTGAAAATATAAGTTATCTAGTTCTGTTTCTGCGCTTGCTAAAGGTTGATTGTTCCAATTTCTTGGTAAGATTTATTAATCGGTTCTACTATGCGACGTAAGCCTGACTTGTTTTCTCTGCCACATGTTTTGATTCGCTCTTCTACGCACGGAGCGAATTGTGTTGAATCAGTTTTACTCACCTAAGTAATCTTTTACTTTTTAAATATCCAAATTTTTTATCACCGTCTACTTTTATGTGATATTGATTCATAAAAATAATAAAAATATTCTTCTCATTCTACGTTTTCGCGGGAAAAAAACACTTTTGTGATCTTTGCATACTTTAATGAGCACAACATAATATGCGGTATACCAGCCAGCCAAATATAATGCCAGATAACATGAAAGAAACGTTAGTTATACTGATGAAAAGATAAAGAAAGCTTAGCCGTCTCATTCTCCGTTTAATACTCTGAAAATACGCAATAAAACGATTCAAGGACATCGACGTCCGTTCGGAAACCATGCTACAGTTAAAAAAGCATTCCTCTTCCTTTTTATAGTTTTATCGTGCAGCTCGCAATGATTTCAATATTGATGAATTATTTTAACTTATATAAGAAAAAGTTAATTAGTTGATCTATTTTTTAAATTAAGTTTAGTTTAAGTTAAATGTTAATCCATTCAAAATGAACCAAGTTAAGTTAAAAGTTATTAACTTTTGAACTTTTAACTGAGGAACTAGTTATTACTTAACCCTGATGTTAACAATAATTGTCAATAAAATAATGAGATCTCAATCGCCGTGTTCTCGAATGTCGATGTATCGGCGATATGTCGCCTTTTTCCTTCTGCGACGCGGCCAAGGGAGAAAATCTTGTATAACACGTGTCGCCGTATGAACACGCATGCCTCGTAAACCACTATCAGTAAGTAAAAATCCATCAACAGCGTGGATTCCGCACAATGACGGCGATAAATTAGCCGAATCGCACACCATGATATTACCACTCGGCCTAAGCCGAGTAACTTTCTTGTAAGAATCCCGTAACACGCGGAACTTGGCGGGAACGAGATAGAGTCGCTATTTAAAACGCCGTCGTAAATATTATGCAATCGCAATTAATACCTCTCGTGTGTGTTTGCCGTAGATATCGTGTACGCTACAACGTTGTCGCGCCGACTCCGTGACACGTATGACCCAGTAAGCAAGAAACATTAAATCAATTTTTTAAAACGTTAATTTTATGTGGATTTTACAAACATTTTGTCATAATATCTTACATATGTTTTCAAACTGTTACTTGATAATGTTATATTTTTAAATACGGCGTAGAGACATTATTTTTAATGTCGAATATTGTCCACAGTAACGTTGTGTGCAACATTAAGAACTACATATTTGAAAATGTTACATGTTACAAAATAACATTGTGATAACGTTGTATTAACGATTTCTTGCTTACTGGAGCTTTTAATCGGCGCACGTTTAATCGCATCAAATTCAACTTCTTGATTCGACTCTCCTCTCGGACTTCTTTTACACATACGCGCACTCTTCGATCCGCACGCCGATTCCATGATTTCATTCAGCCGGCCGATTCGACATGAAATCCTCTTCGCGATAATCCGACAAGCGACAATTATTATTATTACGCGCTGTCAGGATCTAATGTTAATGTTCGTCGATTAAACGTTTGAACTTCCGCGAGCATATAATGCCGAGCTTTCCGCGGGGCCCGTGAGGACGAAGGGCTTTTAGGTACTAATTTTATGTAAAGTTATGAGACGCCGGCGGTGCTCCGATGTGCCATCACGCTTCCCGCAGGTGCTATAATCAAGAGCTCGCTCGCTCGCTCGCGCTTCACGACCGCCGTGTGCTGCAGTATAACTAAATATTCTGCCTCAGGAATCCCGGACTCTTTCGGAGATGACAGAGATTCCCCGCGAAAACAGCCAACTGCGGAGACCCTTCTGCAGAGAGGAACCGAGATCCGTTCTTTCGTAGGACCGAAAATGGTGAGAGCTAGGGAGACCGAAGGCTTCAAAGTCACACAAAACTAACGTCTCAGTTAAGGTAGTCGGTCCGTAAATTTCTCTCCCCGAGGATCTCTTCGAATTTTAACAGCATATCCTAATCGAAACAGAATCGAAGCCGAGATAATTGAAGTCAAAGTCACGTATATCGCAGGTATGAAAGAAGGCTTTCATTATCACATTTTCAATTCTAGCAACCAAACTATTCTCGGGGTTTTGATAAAAATAATGAGAAGACTTGTGAAAGAGACTTGTGGAGATGTTGTGAAAAAAAAAAAATCACAAGATTGTTGAACATTTACTTTTACTTACAGAAATTGACACGTTGAGTACACAATTTCCGATACATTTGAAATGCGTGACGACTTATCTGTAAGGATTTTTTTCTGAAAGCTAATGGATGCAGTTACATTCAAGCGTACAATGATATTATGAAATATCGTTATACATCCTCTCTTAGTCGGTATGTAAAATGTGTGTGACGATAAACCCCGGTCTTCCCTTCCGCGAAGGTGGGTTTCACGAGAACGTTCGAGCGGAGCCGGTCGTTTTATAGATATACAAGAATACGCTGAATGAAACTTTTATGCAAACGATCAATAGCGATGCGAATATATACGTATGTATTATAATATACGCATAGACGCGTGCATATGTATCGCATTTAACAAGTCTAGTTAACTACGAATGCTACGAAAGATGTATCGTCGGACAACACATAAATAAGCGTGCAACGGACAAACACTACGCGCGCGCCTTCAGCGGCGACGTGTTTATGACGCCGTAAAAAAATAAAAATAGGAAACATTTTTACAGGCTGATCATTAAAGCCGACTCGCGAGGCGAGGCTACGAAGATGTCCGTCAATTAATGTCTGCGGGCTCACGTAACTATATCTCTCCCGGCGTGCATAACGCGAGGGGTATATCGAGCCGCCTTCGTCCGATCAAGCCATTCTTTCCGCCGCCGCGCGCGCGCGCGCTCATCGCAAGACCCGTCCTTCATTATCTATTCTCTCTCTCTTGTATTTAACGGCACGATTTTAAGAGCCGTGTATGCCATATTTTTGCCATCTTCATCGAAAGAAAAGCTACACGTTCGGGACTCGCTCGCTATGTAGCGTCGTTCGGTCTTACTTGGTTATTTTCACGAGAAAGAAGAAGTGCACCATTACATTATTCTTATGAAACATGTTCAATGTGCAACATATCGCGAGGTAGATATTGTGAGGCTTGACGACTTTTTGGGAAAGGAAGTAAATATAAATCAATTTCTTCGACAAGTGACTACTTTGCACAGAGAAAGGTACAATAGTTATGTATTTTATTGTCGGCCATTGACTGGCGTTATCCTTCTAACCACTCAATAAATTTCAAGTGTACACACTTCAACCTCTCCTTGTCGTAAAAAGATTATCGTTATGGTGTAGAGATAATAGCGAATAATCAGAGTTGCGCTACCCAATTTTATTGTTTTACGGATGGCACACTCCTTCGCAAAACATACTTCTTTTATCATATCTCGTATTGTCATACGATGCAGATTAATGGCTCGTTGATTAACCGTTCGAATGTCAAACAGTGTAATCGCGCTCTTACGCTCTCACGCTTTATGCGAAAAAAAGCAGTATCATATTCTCTGGTTTCACGCGTTTTCATAATTTTATATGATAATTGTTATTTAGTATTTGAGAATAGTTACAATAAGATTGTGCATTGATGTATTTTTCGAATGTACGCGGAAAAAGAAGAGCTGGCTGGAATTTGTGGCCACATCGTGGCGCTCGGAAATTATCTTCGATTATAGAGGCGCAATAAATGTTTTCGGGCGATTTGATCTATTAGATTATCCTGATAGGAAGCATTCTTGTCACCACCGGCCGACGAAAATTCGGTGTCAAACGAATGAGCTTGAATGGAGTTGGGATAATAACGCAAACCGGATCGTAACACTTTGAGAAGTGTGTAAATGTAGCCCTCCTCTTCTTTTATGGAAGGGATCGGAATCTTTATGGAATGGACTATCGTACGCGTACGCAACGTGATAGAATATTAATATTATTTGAGACACTCGATGTAAGATACATTATGGGGTAAATATAATTTCGCTTGAGAAACCGTGAACGAAACGCACACTTTCGTCGAGCGTGTTCTTGAAAGCGTGAACAAGTGGAAAAATTACAAACGATAAAAGTTTGTGTTTTCTCCGTAAAAGGTGCAATTTCTTGCGGAAGCAAAAAGAAGGTTCAATTTTTAAATAATACGGATCCGTATATGTAACGAAATATATTGGACGGTTGACAAGGAAAAGGGGGATGTTCGTAAGAAAAATTTGGTGAAAAGAAAAAGAAAATAACAAATTCTTTGAGAAAATTTTTTGTTTCTATTAATTGCACCAACTAGATAAGATTTAATCTATCAAGTTTACATAAAAGTATTTAAATAAAAGTCAAGAGTTTTCGTATGCAGGTATGGCATTTTTTTCTTTGAAAAGAATAATGTTTACACAACAACGAAATGTTATATATAAAAATCACTAGTCTTACACGTTATCTTACAAATGTTAAAACGAATGTACGGCTTAAAAAGACGTCGGTTCACTTCAATTATACAAAAAAAAATGCACGACAATGCTTAAGTTTCGAAACAATATTGAGACAATTCATTTGCGAAGATACGCAGAACAAATTATACTGTTTTAGAAGGACAGGGCGTTAACTAGCACTTCATGAGCGTCCAAATATCATAGTTAAAAGCCACTTTAGATTGAAATGCGTCTCACCACAATACGTCGTTTCAATACGTCGTAGTTTATTGTTTATATTATATTATATATATTTATTTTGCGCGTTGCTTTCTAACCAACATGAATAATTCTAACAAAATATACAGAAAGTATAAACTGTGGCATGCAAAATAATTTTTTGGCCGAACTGATCACAAGGACGGTTTATAACGGACATAAACCCTTAGCTTTTTCTAAGTCTAGTTCTAAGTCCTAAGTTACAACCTTAGATAACACGTGAAGAAATTTTTGTGAAATTTAGGTTACAATTTTTGTTAGAAATTGAGTGACAGCTTAGAACTTAGTGCAGAAGACTAAGGACTTACTACACCTGTTGTAAATCCAGTGTAACGCGATTATTACGGTAGCCAGGACAAAACAAATCCTTTATATTGAGCCTCGGCTTCTTTCGAAAAATTTTTATTATGTTGCTTTAAATCACATGCATGCGACGACCTGCCAGTTTCTTCATAACCTGTCATGACTCTTTTGGTATTTATTAATAGTTATTGATACTTCAAACGACTACTTCTCTAGTGAATTGCTTCGCCTAAGTTTTGTCTGTCGGAGTATATCACATATGTAAACAGAAGTTTTATATTGATTATTTTATATATAACCATTATGAGTTATCAATGGGCTGCAAAAAAATGTTATCGTTATTATATAATAAAAATAAATATAAATAAATATATATGGAACAGAAAGATAAAGTCATTGCATATCAATTAGACTGATTGAAAATGCGTCACATGTAATGACGAAACAATAATAAAATAATATAAAATATATAGAATGAAAAAAATAAATTCTATAGAATAAAATAATTGCGGAAATAAATAAAGTAAAATAATATTCAAACTAATTGGGAGCATTTAAAAACTGTTTAACTGTAGACTAATAACATAATTTCTTAGAAAATACGATTAATTTTTTAAATAGAATTACTTGAATTTTTTTTCACAAATTCAAAACTGACGCTATGCATAAGGATAAGTTACGAACGTTACAGATTTGTTATTGTCATGTAGAATAATTCGTTGCACAAAGATGCTCGTTTCTCGATACACTAATCGTAAAGTATCTAGAGTTTCCCACTTCGACTTAAATAAACATAATAAACATATACAATGATTATATCGATCTTAATCACAGTCGCGATAAACTCGAGTTTTCGGCTCTAAATCATTTACACGGCGAAATGATTTATGAACTTCTGGCACGGTTTATAATTGTTATACATTCCGGCGGCTACTGTATGTATGATTTTGTTACGACCATGCAATAAAATAATATATTACACGAATCCACCGGTTGGAGCTGCAGATATACGATACGTGCGGTGTAAGACATACGTGCGATTATGATATTATCTTTGATCATTCTTTTGATAATATAGACTTAGAAAAAGTGTATTATGATATTATCTTTGATCATTCTTTTGATAATATAGACTTAGAAAAAGTGTATTTAATAGTTTATTACTGTTTACGTCGTTTATTCCTTAAATTTCAAGTAATTGTATTAATTTTATTAATTTTCTCTACGCTGAATAAAATATAGTATTTGCAGATATCGTCAATAAAAATATTTCGCTGTAAATAGATATTGCTTTTGCAAATTTAATAAACAATGAAATATACAAGCGTAAAAGTTTTATATTATATACATAATCATATATTACATTTTATATTTCAACGAATAGTCTCTTTAATATCTTTTTAATTTCTCTCTACAATATATATATAGTATATAATCAATTTTGCATTACGTCAATATTCAAATATAAAGTTAAAAGATGCGTACTTAAAATTCGTCTTATGTTCAATAAAGCGCTCGCCTGCATTCAACTCAGTTATGAGTTTGTTCGGACAATGATTGGATTACAATGTAAATTTCGCAGTTTCCTTCAGTCTAAGTACATTGCAAAAGAATTGCAGTGGACCATTTTTAATACAAAATTTTTACACATATTCGACTTCAACTGATCAACTTGCCAAAAAAAGAACTGAATTTGTTTACTCGTTTTACTTTCAGCGCTTTGTGTTCGAAGTTCATTACAGTTTGCCGAGATGTTGCCGAACAGGCAGGGACTGACTGGTCCGCGCAAACAAAGAAATGTCTACCTCCTTGTGCAAGAAATTTGTTGGATTGCTATTCACAAAGCAACCTCGTGACGCACGACGAATTATCTTTCTTAAGTCAGAAGTACAACGTAGTACAGGCAGACACAAATCTCCAACGAAGAAAATAACAATCTAAGCAAGTCCAGCGCAAAAACAAGGGAGAATGAATTTTTATTAATAACTGAGAAGAGTCTCGATCTCCCGAAGGTGTAAACTGAAGCGCAACTCGTCGAGAGATGGTGGGGAGGCCGCGAGGGCCGCCTTCTCGCTTCTCTTTCTGTTAACGGGCGATATCTTCGAGGGTAGGAACATTCCCGTCGAACGCCATTACGCTGAATAACGCAGGTAGACCGTTGCGATTGGCCGAGCAGAAGTGTCTGGTGGGGATACCAGACCGCTCGTGGGCGGACGATATGCGCAGCCGTTAAATACCTGATGTGGAGACCGCTCACAAGCTCTGAGCAGCTGACGGTCGTCACATTGCGAATTCTTTCGGCAGTCAGCATAGAGCCGTTCTATCGCTAGTACGTTCGCCTAATCGCGCTCGCGAAGTTCCACCTGTTCTTGACACACCTTCGGTCTGTGATGACCCGACACGTGATACCCTGAGTTGTGACGGCGTGAAAAGTTGACGGATTCTCCTCACGCTCGTCCTCCCATAGTGAAAGAAAGTGAAGAACGCTCCGTCGTGCTTATCACCGAGGTGACAACAAGTGGGGCCGAACCATGTCAGAATCGAGCGCGAACGTCAACAACATCAGCGCGTACTTCAACTCGCTGGAGGCCCCGTACTATCACCATCAGCCACAGCGCAACACTCAGACGCAGCACGTCGCACCGTCGCAGCCGTCGCTGGCGTCGCAGCATCAACAGTTCCCGCAGATACATCAGCAAGCGATCGCGGCCAGCATCGACGCCGGCCACTGGCACGGCTATCCGCACGGGAGCCTGCACATGAACCACCACCAGCAAGCCCCGACGCCGGGCTCGCATCACCACCAGTACGTCGATCACACCGAGATCTTCGCGTGGACGCACCACCATTACACGCACCTCCCTTACCCACCCCCTCCGCAGCCGTACTCCCAATTTCAGCAGTACCCTCAGACGCAGCAGCTGCAGGTGAACGAGTGGCCGAACAACGCCGGTCCGCCAGCCTCCCGGCAGATCACCGGCAGCAGCAGCGAGATTAGCCACCCCAGCACACCGTCCACCCCGTACAGCCACAACAGTATCGGCAACGGGTTCAACCAGCAGTCCTCGGCGAACGGTATCCCGTACGGCTCGCCGAGCACCTCGCAGGACCTCACCGTACCGCCCTCCACCATGGGCTCGCATATCAGCGTGCCGTCGTCCGTCGTCGGCAACGCGTCCTGCGACGTCCTCCACGTCCCGTCCACCGCCGCGTCCTCGTCGACGTCCCGCGATCTCAGCACACCGTCCACCTCGTCGTCGCATCACAACGCGGGCCTGCAGTACGCGTCCAACAATATGAGCCAGCAGACGTCCCGCAGCGACGTGTACGCGGCGAACGCGCGAGGCCCGAGCAGGAGCCCGTTCGGCTGGATGAGGAGGCCGTCGTACCAGAACCAGCCGAAGCCGGGTGAGTGATTTTCCGCATGCGTGTCATCTTGGCGCGCCGAACCTCCGCCATTCTCGCCCCGTGTTCTCTCTCTTCTTGAAAGATTCGAGGGAGTCCCAACTATTTTTGCCGAGTTCCACTCGCGATCAAACTTGCGGGACTGAGACTTGGTACAAACCCGGGAGAACAGATGGGTTGAATTAACGTGACAATGAACGAGCCGAACGTCTCTTTTGAGGAAGCGGAATGAGTTGGAAAATCTCATCTACTCTGTACCGGCTGCTTTTTAAATCAACTCGATCAGGCACATTTTAACCTATCGAAAATCCTCCAGGATACGTTGATTATAATTTCTTCTTCGTAGAGTATACGTGCACGTACGAAGTAAGTAAGCAAGCAAAAAAGTATCGTCTGTCGTGTGAAAACCAATTAGATAATATCGAGAGGAAACGGCTATCTTCTATCATACACAGTTCGCGTTGATTCGTTAAATCAACTTAATGGCTTCCAGCCGGCGCTTTCTGCGCGCCGTCGGAATCGTTCCAAGTCTCCGCTACTTGGTTTCACTTTGTTTTTATCTTATCTCGCATTTGGTACAGCATAACGTGGCAATTTATGTGGAAATTATCGTAGATTATAATTACGCGATTTAAAATCATCACGGAAGAATTCAAATAAAGCGTACGACACGGAAAGGATCCGCATAATTGAATTTCCGTCCCCTGCGGACCAGAAATGACAACTTCGAGAGAGTAATGAGAAACGATCTTTCTGTTGCCGCGACCGAAGAGATTCTCGCGAACATTCGGTTGTATTAATAATTCGGTTGCAATTATCGAGATCGAATAACAACACGGAAACTTCCTGCAGGAATCTGTTTGTTTCTACAGCCTCGTGTTTCTGGTTCTCAGGCAACAGAAATTCAATCACACGTGAAAAAGAAGGCAAAACAAGCTTCGGCCGTAGTTTTGCTTGAATTTTTTGTTGGCTGGGAAAAATGGGGACCAGACGGAGATAACTCGATTGCAGAAACAAAGAGATTCCTGGAAGAGGTTCCCACGCAGTCGAAGTTTTCCCAATTATCTTAACCGTGTTTTAATGTCTGAATCAGTTCAGACAAATGTTTTTGGTAGCTGTAACAGAGATAACACTTCTCGTCAGCGAATTTTCACCTTTGGTTCCCATTCAGTTTCCATTCAGTACATATGTCACGATATATCATTAGATTCGCATACACGTGTACAAAATGATATCAGAGCCACAGCAAGGGCCTGTGACGATTTACCCGTTTGAGACACCTTCGCGTTCGGAACGCATTTCTCTCCGACGTGCGTGAGGGTAATCCTCGGTTTCGGGAGTCCGGCTGGGAGGAAATCGTACGATTCGAAAGTGTGGCGCAACGTGGAGCACGTTCTCCAACGTGAACGAGGAGGAGAACTTTTTCGTTCGTATCGCGCGCAGTTATAAATACGTCTCGCCGGTCTAGATACGGCAAACCATGCAAACACGGTAACAGACGTGCAAACATCTAATTGCTCCTAAATATTTGTGAGATAATCCCCCAACTTCTTGTCATCAACCTCAATTTTCCGCCGTATCCAAAAGAGAGAGTCCCATCCGTTCGCACGACATCCTGAATAAACACGCGGCAAGGAAGAGTTAGAGTTCCTCGAGGAAGTCGGAGTTAAAGAACCAGGGCTGCAGCACGAGGCGGCGTCCCCTTTGAAGGAAAATCTCTCGCGCCTCTGATCAATCGCTCTAATCATCGAGGAATCTGACATCGATTATCTCGCATTTTTTGTAAAATTCCAGACAATTTCCGCAATTACCAGTGCTTTTGATTACCTCGCTTTCGGGCCGGTATCTTTTTACCCGTAAACCGTCCGAAAGAAGTGCCTTTTGCCTCGATAGGCACTTGCTACGGCCCTGAAAGTATGTATTACACCTCATATCGCGGAGCATGTTTGATCAGTATCAAAGCAAAGATAAAGGGTGAGCGAAAATTTGGTCATTGCCTTCGCTTAAAATGTCTTTCACCCGGGCACATTTGACGCTTAGAATTTACAATTCGAAGCCGATAATGAACCCGTTTCTGTCGGTCGCTGCGAATTCGAGCTGTATGTCACTGCAGGCGCGTAAGGTCGGAAAACGAATTGGAACGATGAAAGTATTCCGATAGATGCTGTTATTTCTACTGTTGCAGCGGGCAATGATGCCGCTGCCTCTAACACGGGTGCTGTTTCAACGATTAATGACCTCTGCAGTCGTCTTGCACTCCTCGGTAGGATTTATACAGTTTAATCGATGGATCGGTGTGTAAAATGCGGTGGCGTAACTACGAGCACTCGACTTTCAAGTAAAATCACTGAAGAAGGATGCTCCTCCTGGTGTGCCCTCTTTTGCCGCTCTGCTTACAAGAACAAAGAGCGATCGAAGCAGAAATTCATACATCTTAACTTGCAAAAGCGTGTTCGATCGCGCAGAAAATCACACGCACACGGTGCACATAATCGCGTGTACATTTAATTTTGTATTAAAATTCCGTTTTTCTTTGTATTTCCTCATTAATTTGGATCTCCAACGTCGCCTTTGAGCGTCGCTTACACACGCTTGATAAAGTAGTTACGCCACTCGCACGATTCGATTGTGCATGCAATTGGGAAATAGAAATATTTGCAAGTTTCTCCGTTGAACGGACTCAACATGTAGCTGATAAGAGGATAAATCGGAAATTATTAACGATAACGAGAAGTGGGAAATTTTTATAGCATGCATAAATAATTCTTATAATCGTTCTTTACCTCTCGTTGCATCTCGGCATCTTTGTGTTGCGCGTTAAGCACCACAGCATCGATGCCTTCCAGCAAGGAAATATGGAAAGATACATTACACAATGTATGGGTGTTTAATGGAAGACCTTAATGTTTTAAATAGTATTTTTCAAATTGCATGTTCACATAATTATTACATTGCATTGTATTACTGTGTCAATTAAGCAGAAAATTCTCTTGGTTTCTTTTTGCATGACTATTACTATTAGAAGGAAGCGAATGCACTCGATCGGTCTAAGGTGTCACGATGGTGTGATTTACTGTTTCTGTGATAGCCTTCTGTGGCATGGTAATAGCAATAGAGATTTGGCAAACAGATCAATCTTCTAATCATTTAAAGTGACAACAGCAATTATCTTTCGCTCAAGTGCCGTCGTAAATTTTCGACGCGCGTCGAAAATTCGGTTTGGCTTTCGTGCTTCATTTACAACACCTTTTAAAACTTCATTGTTGCCTTTCATCTTGCGCGCTAGTGTTATCTTCATCCGGGGGTTTTTCGGCGCGCTGTAAAAGTCGAAATTAGCCATTTACGCAACTTTTCCCAAAGATCCCCGCGTCCGAACTTCTCGCGGCCAGAGATCATTCGCTAAAGAAAGTGGTGCGAGTTCGAGGTGTTAGCAGCAATTAGCGAGCGTTACTTGAACAAGGCTTTACTTAATTGCTCAGACTTCTCGCATCTAATAGGAAAATGTGTCTCTTGAGAATTACTAAAATACAAATTTTCCTATTGGACACGGAATGCGTTTCGAAACTTTCCGAAAAGAGCGTTGCAACTTTTTTGTGAGGGAAGGTAGCGTCCATATCTGCGTTACTATGACATAATGAATTAATAGAATTTATATTTAAACTGTCAAAAAGAAGTGAACAAACTGCTGTTTAGTAACGACAAGCTATTTGCTGAATCACAATGTAGGTTTTAGAAAAGAACCATTATAGTGGTATTTCGGCCTGAAAGATCGCTTAGCGGGAAGCCGCTGTAGTGACATCTTTATTCCTCAAACCCTTTCAGCGGGATGCCACTAGAGCGACGCTCAGTATTCAAAGAGTTAAACTCGCCATGAGCGTTGTTAAGCTAATAATTTGCAGTAATACAGTTATTTTTAACAGCTTAGACTAATTCAAGAAAATATGCGTGTTGCAAGAACAGCCGCTGCTATTCTATATTGTACGTTCCAAAATTATCCTACACAGAAATAAGTGCTGAATTCAAATAAATAATTACTTCAATGCTCTTTAGCAAATTTTTACTCGGGTCAAAAAATATTTATTTGATCCCGATGAAGAATATTGAGCTGATTGTTTGCTCGAATCTAACATTTTTTTTCACAGTACTTTTATTCGACGACGATTCACCCCGTATCCACCGTGTCCGCAAATTCATTTCCTTACCGTCGCTCACGGTCAAAAGCTATTTGTGGCTGACGAAGTTGCCAACACACAGTACAAGATTTGTACGCACTTATACCTTCGAACCGAAAAACCGTAACCCGTGCCCGACTTGCGTCATTAACCCTTTCTGTAATATCGAATCACCCCGTTCTGGCGATAATGTTCCCAGACCTGCTTGCGCTTTCTTTGTACCCAAGATCTCTCTTCGTTCTTCCTTTCCTCAGGTCAATTCCACGAATTTTCGCAGTTCCGTTTTAACCCTCGTTTCTCGCTGTTTTTCCCTTCAACTCGTCCTTTTTTCTCCCTCTCTCTCTCTCTCTCCTCCGTTTTTTTCTCTCGTGCGATTTCACGGGCGTGCAGTACTTTAGGCGAACGTCCACTACCTTCCAACACCTATTATCTGCATTTTATGGCTATATTGCAGGCAGAACCACTCGGTCTTTTCGACATGAGGACGTGCGCATTCGCTCGTTCGCTCGCTCGTTCGCTCGCCGGCTCGCACGTTACAGAAACGCGATCCGTTGCATTACAATATCGTGCGCTTTCACGTTCGCATATCGCGCGCGAATCTCTCCGTGAGAGAGAGAAAAAGAGCGCACGCATTTGCACCGCGACCCTACGGTGGCAGCACGCGATTTCCACCGCTTTTATGGCGCCTCCGTCTCATCTCCTCTCTCAAAGCAAGCGATCCTCCCTAACGGCACGATTAAAAGTAACATCGAATGACGAAGGGGAGATCAAAGATTATTCCTCCGGGTCCGAAAGAAAGAAAACCGACGTCGCTATTATTGCGGCCGATGG